TTTCTATTTGGTGAAACTCGGTCCGGTATATGTTTTACTCAAATAAATATTTCAAACTTGTTAAAAAGCAATTCAGAGATGGATATGGTTTCAAAATTGTGACTACTCTTAAGCCATGATACCCATTCAAATTAGGTTCATAGTTGGTATGATCTACTTCACATAAAGTGGTGTAGGGTATCTTATAGTCGGCCCGCCCGTCTTTTGACCTTTCCTTACTGGTTTCATCTCACAACACTGTTGGGGAGATTTTGTTCGGATCGCAATTATCGCGTCTTTAAAATGTACCAAAAACCTAAAAATTGTCTAGATTGTGCAGTCACTCTACAATTTGACCTATGGGACGAATGAGAATTTTTATACCCTCAGCAATACGGCTACAAAGGGTATATATAATTTGATTCAACCAAAATGTGCCTAATCGAAACAACGGTTTTAGACTTTAGGCCTCATTGGACCAAATCCGCTTCAGGATACTTGGAATCGATGTAATCGATTTGAAATCCGCCCGTCCATTTGTCTGTGTATCTGCGCACTCCCTTAAGTACCTCTCCCATTATGGGTCAACATTTTGAATAATTATAACTCTTATAAGATGTGAAATAAAAGTCTGAATTGTCTTCAAATTTCACACATCTTCATATTTTTATGATCACAAATTTTGAATTATCGTCTCCCCTATAAAATATGAAATTTCACACATCCCACTTATTTTACCAACACAAGATCTGGTATCAAGAACGGGTAGAACGGAACACTCCTTCTGGAACTTTCTCTGCAAAGGGTAAAAATTTTAAATAAAAAAGGGTAAAAGTGATGAATAACCATGACGCTCATAAAATTTGCATCCTATTCTTTTCAAACGTGGCACATCCTAACATTTCCATCAACTCAAGATCAGGAGATGAGAAACATCCGCCTACTCTTTCTGGTATCTCCCCCAAAGCGGGTAAAAGTTTTGAATAATTATAACTCCTATAAAATTAAAAAGAGTCCGATTGTCTTCAAATTTTAAACAAAAAAAAAAAAAAAAATCGTATATACGTTTGGAATCTGTCCTTCCGTAAGGTTTTATGTTTTAAGATATGCGCTGATATGATTGATTGATAATTTGATCACGTACACCCAAAACAGAAGTTTAGACTCTAAATCATTATAACGGTTGTTGCATTTGCATTCATTTTTTTTTTTTTTTTGGAATATTCTTTTTGCATGTCAAAACATAACGACAAACTACTTATCTAATTAGATATTCGAATCTTGCTTGTCTTGTTAAACTAGTTTCCTGTCACAGCTGTCACGGCGCTTAAAAACACAAATAATAGAACTTAACAAGCTTGCACTTAGTTTAATCAGATGATGACTATAAATACGAAATTTTGCCAAAAAGAAAGCATCAGTTCCTTTTCGTAATCGAAAAAGTTCAAATCATCAATATGAAATTCGCAGTAAGTATTCAAGTGGAAAAAATCTAAATACAACATGGATTTACTTTGATGATTTATTTATTCATATATTTTTCGACAGATTGTTTTACTGGCTTGCCTTTTGGCTTTCGCCTATGCCAACGAAGAAGCTGAAGTTGTCAAGGAGTTCTCTGAAGTCAATGCCGAAGATTTCAAATATGCCCTCGAATTGACCAACCACATCCGTGCCGAACAGGAGGGTCATTTGCAAGACAAGGACAACTGGTTGGTGAAGGGTGAATACGAATTTGTCACCAAGGAGGGCAAACACATCAAGGTTACCTACACCGCCGATGAACACGGTTACCATCCCCATGTTGAACAATAAATTGTTACGTTTTTAGACAATGAGTGAATAAAATCGATAAGAGAATGAATATTTTTGAAAACTAAGTGAAGTGAAACTAAATTTCATTTTTGGGTCAAATTTAAAATCAAATTTAGTCATGTCTAAGATCAGGATAATATGCATAAATATGATATCTTTAAATACGACACTCTGAACTCTAAATTATTTAGTCACGTCCGTCTTTTGAACTATTGCAATGGATATATAGGTCGCCAAAATCTTACTCAAATGTGTATTTTGCTGAATATTTCGTTCTACGGGAGCTACATTAATGTTCGGAAATTTTTACCATATTTTTCAGATAGTTGCATAAACTTTATACGACAAAATTGACTTTTATTAAAAATGTTTGACATCGGAATTTGTATGTCAATTTCACCCAATTTTACAGAATCATCAATAGCAAGTTACGCAAACTATACATCTAGTCTCTAGAAGGGCATATCCTATTTTGTCCAGATTTAGTACGACGCAGTCCACTTCTTCTGGTAACTCCCCACAAAAGCTAAAAATTTTTGAATAATAATTTTCGTAAAAAGTCAAATCAGTGTCTGATTTTCATCACAGAGCAAATTCCAATATTTTGGTCTATATTAGAGCAAGAGTGAATATCGAATATATCTGTCCTCTTTTTCTGGTACCTACCCCAGAAAGTTTTAAAATCTTGTAGCAATTTCATCTCATACATTGGCGAGAGCTTACAACCGCACCCATTACACGAATAGTGGCACCACGGCAACAGCAAAAACAACGAGAACATGAGTCAAGAGCTTAAGAGGACAGCATCAATCAATCACCCCATTATCTCCTGGCAATGTAACAGAATATTCAGTTTTCGACAGTATACCGTTTACCGCATAATGTAAAAAAATCTCGTTGACTTGATGATGCCTCTCAAATTAAATTGAGTGGCAGGTAATTCATTTACACAGAGGCTTCGGTTCGTTGTTACACAGGAGTCTTTGGTTCGTTGTCCCACAGGAGCGAACGAACAAGTTCCGATCATCTTAGAAGGCCTGGAAATCTGTTCCCGGACATACCCACAGTGAGCGGCCTAACCGTCTCCTCGGCAAATTTTTCTTCCGCATAACCGAAGATACCACCGGCGATGGTTGTTTTTTAGATTTCTCTCCCTAGGAAAATGCAGGACTTCTACTCTTAGAATATCAATCAGTTTTAATAAAAAAAAAACAAGTAAAAAAGCTATAAGTTCGGCCGGGCCGAACTTTGAATAAACTCGACCATTTGGTACAAATTTGGCAATTTTCAAAAAATAAAAATCCAATTCTGTTAAAATCTTAAAAATAACAAATGTAACCGTACATAAGGGTCTATACCACGACGTGGACCTGCATACGCAACTTTTCTCATAAGTGTAACAGTTATTTTTGTGCGGACATGGTACTTCGGTCTTAGGCTGCGGCTTAGCTCGCCGGAATGGGTAGGTTCTTTCCGCTTCAACTGAACATATAAATTTGTGTACCATGGGTGTTATTTTTTTTGTAACGGAAATTCAAATTTAATTTTAAAAATAAAATAAATACAAAGGAAACGGATGTAGTTCGATTTATAACCAGATTTAGCATTTCAATTCAAAATAAATACAAATGAGATTTCCATTAGGTGAGGTTTAGATGGTAACCTCGATGGCTTTTCCCTCCCCATATGACTATTTCAGTCATCCTTGGTATTTTCTGTGCCATCAGACTTAAGTGAAAATACCCCAAATATAATTAACCACGCACTAACAAATATTCAACCCATTACTTTAATGTTCAAAACATTTTGTTAAAAAAAAATATTACTCAAAATATTTCAATATTTAAATTAAATTTATAATGCATTTTTATTATTATTATTCTTAATATTTAATATATATGTATATAAAAATTTTGTTATTATTTATAACAGTTTTTTTTTTTTTTGGTCTCAACAAAAATAATTTTTGGTTTCCTTAATAATAATTAAACATATAAATTTTGTATTATATAATAATAGAAAATTTACTTTGATATAACAATTTCTAATTGAGTATAGATATTTTGATCAGAATTTATATTATTTATTTTTATTACAATTCTTATTTTTACTTATTTGGTTTCTAAATATATATATAATTTCAGATTTTTAATAATTCTTATTTTTTTTGTGTATATATATAATTTAGAATTTGTTATATTTACATATTTTAGGTGTAATAAATTTGTGTAAATAATATTATTTGTTTGCAATATTTATGTTATTTATTATTCTTATTTTTATTATGGTTATATATATTTTTGTTGTATCTCTAGATAAGTTATATTGAACTTGAAGAAAGGTTACATTTCATAACCACGTGGGTCTTATATAATATTTTTAGGTTATATTTAGGCAATACTTCATTTACCTATAATTTTATCTCCAATTTGCTGTTTTTTTTTATTTATTTGTTGATTTTTAAAATAAATTAAATTTATCAGGTTTTTCTTCGGTCTACCCTAATGTTTTTATAGCAATATTCATATTTTTTTAACGCCTTAACATATGCTTTACGTTTCAACTAAATTTTGAATGTTTTAATTTTGTGTCAAAATAACCACGTGTGAAATATGTGATTGTTGCGTAGAGATGGAGCTTACATCATATTTTATTTTGCCAATTCACAACAATATCTTGATTTAAGTATACCAGTTTTAATAAAGGCAACTTATTGATCTAGATGGTGTTGTATGGCACTTTTTGATATATGTTTGATGATTGTACTCACTTATGATAATCTCCTTATGATGAGTTATACATATATATAGGTATCTTATTGTCCGAAATTAATGCCCAGAATATGTGTCTCCGTTTACAAGTGACAATTTGACGACTGCCGCGGTGTTGAAGTCGTCAGAAATTCACTTCTGACTTCTTTCTGCCTTATTTGGAGAATAGGTATTTCAACACGATATTCTATATTATAAAAATGGCACAAATTCCCTGACGTTAGACACTAATCAAAAGCAAATTATTTTCGTTTTATGTTATTTTTCTCACCTGGGCAATTTTCAATATTTCTTTACTAATATTTCAGCATTAAACTCTCCAATCTTTAGTTTTAATATTTTAAATTTTTATTAATTTAACTAAAAGAAAAAAACGTTTTATAACCACTATCACCATTACTCAATGCTTCAAATTTCACCTTCTAATTCTAATAATTGCTAAATATCTTAAATGTTAACCTTATTGTAAACCTTCAACGTTTGAAATGAAAGAACAATTTCAAGGTGACTTTGTGAAGGTTGGAACTCACATGCTGGAGTTTTAGAGATGGTACAATTGGTTCCTTTTTCTAGTGGTATAAATTTGTAGTGTTAAGCATTCTATATAGATGGCTCTCTAGTAATGATCATGGCAGCATTTATTTTTCTTGTGTTCAAGATTTATTAATATGAATTAATAATGCTATCATATTTTTAAAAATTCAAATAATTTAAAGCAGGTCAAGGATTATTTTATTAAAAGCTTTTTATAGCAATTGTTAAAGCTTTTTTCCAATTGTTGTCCAACATTTACTACGATTTATTGGAAATAAATCTGTTGTACGACTGCGGTGTAGTTACGACCAGATAATATGCAGATGGTAAAAATACGATTGCAGAATCCCTACTAGATAATATGAACTTGGTCAAGATACGATTGTGGCATCCCTATAATGTCTATTTACATTTCAAACATCAAACCGCTAAATGGTAACAAAAATTCTTTTGAAAAATAATAAGTTTGTTGCTCATATCCACAGCCCAAGGGTGGCTGTCACAAAGCCAACTCTTTTCGCGCAACCTGTGTAGTGTAAAAGAGTTGGGAATATGTATATGGAAAACAATAAAAAGGTAAATATAGCAATTCCACTCACAACATGTTGTTAATGTTTTTTTTTTCTTTGCAGGTATTAAGGGATGTATGTTGGAATCTTTGGATTGGCAAGAAAATATTTACATTAGAAACACAACAGCAAAATTTATCAGCCAGGATATAAAAATGTATTACATTGTTGTTGTCCAATGTCAAAGGCAATCGGAAAACTAGTGTGTTTTGGTGTCAAAGGTTTTGTTGGATATTTGCAACAGGCATTTGTCTTGGCCAGAAATACAACAACATAAAGGAAAAATGGATAATGGAGATTTTAGGAAAAGGAGAAGTATTTTCCAATCAGTTTATTTGTTATATTAAGATTGTAACAAGTGTTTGTTTTGTTTCCAGGTACACGTTTATGAACGTATGGAATGCATTTTTTTGTGTGCTATGAATGACGTAGAATGTGAGCAGGTATATTGGCCTACATGTGTGTCTACTCTATTGGTCCAGTTGGGAATTTATTGCAGATATGGTAAGTCTATTGGAGATACAATGTTTGTTGTTCATTGTACTAATTTCTGTCTTTATTTTTATTTTCAGAAACATTAATGGAAGATATATGAAATATTCAAGTTATTGAATACTGATTGTAATAAATGCAATATGTTTTACAAAAAGCAAATGATTCTACGGCCATATATTTACCCTACATAGTAAATGGATAGATTTTTACCTGAATGCATTAAAAGGTATGTTCATGATCATGTGGGTTAATGGCAAAGAATAATGTGTGTACTTGATTATTAACAAACTCAATATTTTTGTTTATTTTCCAGGTAGACGTATTGAAAATGACAAACTAAATGCCTTATATATTCAGATGTGTGGTGTTGTGTGCTTGTAGATAATAACAAACGAACATGTTGACGGAAAAAGGAAAGTATTATTCCAATTGAATTTGTGTTGCCATCAAAATGTTTATGAAGTTTCTTTTTTTAGGTAAGCATTGACGGGAATCTAAAATCTATGAGAATATTGACAGTTGGTTTCATGCGAATGTCGTTATAGTAAATTGGCGAATTTGAAGATAAGTATATTTTGAAATTGATTATGCTATTGTTACTAATATTTTCTTTCTATTTTCAGTTTCTGATATGAAGTCATTTCTGGTTAATAATAGTTTTCTTTCTTTTTCAGGTAGTTGCAGAAATTAATTCATAATGGATCAATTGAAGGGAGCAATCAACATAACAACAAAATATGCCGTAGGTTTTGGTGAGAAAAGTAGTTATTAAGATTAATATTAGTTATAAGAGTAGGTACTAATACTATTGCTTGAGGTGTTGTGCGTGGATAGTTCCTATTAGATCGCCTTTAAGATTTTCAATTTGGTATAGGCAGTTTCCTAGGGCTTTTCGTATCCTACACTTAATCCACGGTTTACAGAGTTTAGAATTTATACCTTTTGCAAAATTGCTTTGCACAAAATTCTTTCGGAAGACTTCCTGTCCAGGTTTGTAGGTTATAAATCTACTTCTCTTGTTATATGATCTTGTGTTTCGTTCATAGGCTTCATGTATCTTTTTGTTGATATTGTTGTGCATTATTTGCATTTGGTCGGATTTAGGTAACAAAACTATTTCACCGTCTTCTAAGGCGTTTAGTTTCTTTAGAATCTTGTATGCATCTGCATGAGTAATCATTTGATAGCCTGTTAAAGCGAAGTATGGAGTTGTACCTGTAGAAGCATGAATTGTTGAGCGTAGTGCACATTCAATTTTGGGCAACTTTTCATCCCATTTTGCGTGATCTTTCTGTAGGTAACTACGAATGCTACTAAGGATTGTTTGGTTTACCCTTTCGCTTGCATTAGATTGTGGTGCATGTATTGCAGTACGAATGTGTTGTATGCCAAACATTTTCATTAGCTCTTTAAATGCTTCAGAGGTAAATTGTTTTCCATTATCTGAATGGATACATTCGGGAACTCCGAATTTATAAAATACCTCTTCGACAAGAAATTTATTTACTTGAGAAACTGTTGCTTTAGTCATTGTTTTGAGCAAAACGAATTTAGTTTTATGATCTAAAACTATAAATATAAAACTCTTGCCTGTTTTTGACCTGGGGTAAGGTCCTAAAAAATCAATGTAGATCTTCTGAAATGGTCGTAATGTGACAACTTCGTTCCCCATTGGAGGTCTAAGTGTTTGTCTAGGATGCTTTATTTCTTTACATGTATCGCAATTTCTTATAAAATCCTTTATGTCTGTGACCATTGAAGGCCAGTAGAAGTACTGTCGTATGTTATGTATAGTCTTAGCTATGCCACCATGACATGTGTTTATCTCATGTGACTTTTTTACGATTTCGTTGGTCAAATTGCTTGGTAGCCAAATCTTCCAACAAGCGTCCTCGCTTTCTATATCTATCGTATTGAATTTGACCCTTTTGTAAACAACTCCTTCTTGTACCTTTAAGTCAGGCAGTCTATCTTTATTTTGCTCGATTGTGTCAATGAGACTTAGGTAGATTGGATTCTTGAATTCCTCTGAATCAAAGTCTATTATGGATGTTGTGTCAACAGAAATTTCTTCCATGTCTAAGCGTGAGAGCATGTCAGGTACTACATTTTTGGTTCCCTTTCTATGTTCAATTGTGAACCTGTAGCCTTGTAGTTTTAAACTCCATCGCGCTAGACGTCCATTCAAATCTTTCTGTCTCATCAGCCATTGTAGACTTGAGTGGTCAGTTATGACTGTAAAGTCCATCAATTCTATATACTGTCTGAACCGCTCAATTGCCAAGATGACTGCAAGACACTCTTTCTCTGTAGTGGAATAGTTGCGTTGGGCACTGTTCAATTTCTTGGAGAAGTATTCGATAGGATGTTCACCATCGTCATCACCTTTTTGAAAAAGAACAGCACCAACTCCGACGTTCGATGCATCACACTGCACAAAGAAAGGTTTTGAGAAGTCGGGACTGGATAATACTGGACTAGACACTAAACATATTTTTAATTTTTCAAAAGATTCTGTTGCTTCAGGAGTCATTATAAATTTTGGAGATTTCTTTAAGGTATCTGTAAGAGGGGATGTTAAAGTGGAAAAATCGTGAATAAATCTACGATACCACCCTACAGTACCTAAAAATTTCCTAACATCTTTCTGGTTTTTGGGTGATTTGATATTCATTATGGCTTCAATTTTTCCTGGATCAGGTTTTAACTTGCCTGCTCCAACAATATAACCAAGATATCGAAGTTCTTTATAACAAAATTTAGACTTGTCCATATTTATTGTTAAGCCAGCGTTTGTTAGTCTATCTCCTACAGTCTTGAGCATTTCTATATGTACATCGAAGTTTTGGGATACCACCAATAAATCGTCGAGGTACACAAATACACGGTCTTTCAACTCTGAAGGAATCACTTTATCCATCAGGCGGCACATCCTTTGAGCAGCATTACACAATCCGAAAGGCATGACCTTAAACTGGTAGTGTGGTCTACCTTGGACCGTGAATGCTGTCAAAGGACGGCTTGATTCCTCCAAAGGAATTTGCCAAAATGCGTCCTTTAGATCTATTGCTGATATGAAATGCGTATCTCCGAGTCTAGCTAACAAACCTTCGATATTAGGCAAAGGATATGCATCTTTACGCGTCACTTTATTGAGTTCCCTTGCGTCCAAACATAACCTGTTTTTATTGGGTTTTATGACCAGGGTAACTCTGTTGTTCCATTCTGCATTTCGTGCTATCTCGATTACATCCAGTTCCAGCATACGGTCTAACTCGTCGTACATGAGTTTTTGTACTGCGGGACTCACTGGGTAATATCTCATCTTCTTAGGAGCTGAATTTCCAATATCGATGGAATGCTGTTCCAGATGAGTTTTCCCTAGACCGTACTTCGTATAGCACCGAAATGAGAGCTTGGCGTTCTCTAATTTCACATTTTGTTCATACGTAAGATCATGCATTTTCCTTTCCTCGTCAATCTCTAATACTTCTTTATTGATTATATTTGGTTCAAACGATATTTTTATATTAAATGTTTGCCAAAAATCGTACCCTAAAATGAGACTTTGTTTCAAGCTAGGAACTAAGTAAAATGTCAAGTTTCTAACCTCATTTCCACATTTTACATCACATTTAATTTTTCCTACAATTTGTTGTTGCTTGCCGTCTGCTGTTCTTAGACAGGATTTAAAATTAAAAATCTGGGCATTCATTTTCTCAGCATTTTCTATGCAATTGCTACCTAGGCAACTTATGGAAGCTCCACTGTCCATCAGACCAGTGAATTCTATTTCATTAAGTTTCACTTTCAAATAAGGCCTAATGTCATTATCGACTTCAAGGTATGCTGATGCAATAACTTTCCTTTCTGTCTTTCTTTTACTATATCCTTTTCTCGCTTTTGCAACTCTTTTACTGACTTCAGGCACAAAGTCCTTGAATATTTCAGCCCTTTTCTTATTGTACTCTTTTAATCTTTCTTCATACGGAACAATAGAAATTAGTTTTGTTGTTGTTGGACAAATTGATTTTGCAACATGTATTAATGTTGGCTTATTGTTGAATGTCTGGGTAGTAGTTGTTGTTGGTATGTCTGGGATCGATTGTTTTACTGGGATGTGTCCTTCTGCGAACATGGATTCCCAGCGTTCCCCATGCTCTTGGAGCGGTTTCCCATACATCTAGGACATTTAGGTGATGTAACTCCATCGAACCCACATTTGTAGCAAAAAATATTTCGCTGTTCGACTTCACATTCTATGTAAGTGTGACCTGCCTTCTTGCAATTCCAACATGTAATTTGCTTTGCTGTTGTTGTTGCATGGATTGCTTCAACATCAGAGGTCGGGTCACAAGAGTCATTGTCAAATTCAATCTCATGGATTCTCCTAAATTGTTGTTGTGGTTGCCGATAATGCATACGCTTCGAAATATTAGCCTCAGCCCTTCTACACTCTTCTATAAGGACATCAATGGATTCTATATTCCTTGCATATATTAATTGTACTAGTCCTTCCTTCAGATTATCTTTGATTATTCGGACTATTTCTAATTCAGGGATGGGAACTCTCATTTGATTTTTCAATTTAATAATTTCGGAAATAAAGATGTCGGCAGTTTCGTTAGGAAGCTGTCGACGCTCTATGATCTTTCTTTGAATTTCAAAATCAGATTCGAAATTTCTAAATTTTTTTATTAGATTGTACTTCAAAAATTGCCATTCGCACAAAGGATTTTGCTGACGGAATTGCCATATCCAATCATATGCTCTTCCTGCTAACAAATGATGAAATCCTTTGACGAAAACATCCCAAGGACAGCTGTAATCCACTCTTAAGGATTCAGCTCTGAATACAAATTCCTCAATGCTAATATTTTTCGACGAGCCATCAAATTTTAATCCCCATTTTTGCAATTGTAGTGGTGTCATTGGTTTACAACCAATTGCAAAATTTTGACTAAAGTTCTGGGAATAGTGTTCTCTATTATTATTGTTGGTTTGTTGCTGTCTCTGTTCGAAGTTATTTGGCATATAGTGAGAATTTAACGTTGGTTCTTGTTCGTACCTATTCGGATCTTGAGTATTGAAGGACGAATTTCTCAAGGAATCAATTGAATTTCTGACCACTTGAGGTATCATCACTGCTAATCTCTCTTCCATTGTTCTTAGAGCTTGGTTTTGAGCTATTCTAACAGAGGCAGTTATGTACTCTCTTAAACTTGGACCATCATTACTATTAATAGGGGCCTCTAAATTTACATTTTCTAATAGGGGTTGTTGTCTAGAATCCCTCTCAAATTGGTTTCTTACCTCTTGGGCAGTTGCACTACTAAATTCTGGACTACCTACAGCGATATTAGTTCCTGGTGAACATGTCGTTTGGAGTCCTGTTGGTGGTGGAATATTGCATGCCATTAAAGGTGGAATAACATTTTGTACAACAGTTTGATTAGCATCTGGTGCAGAGTTTGTTGACATGTTTGAGATGTTTTGATCTGAAGTATTATTGTTTGGCAAAGATTGGTTACCTAACGGGTTATTGTTTGATAGTGTTGGTCCCGAAGTGCTTGCAATATGTTGATTTTGAGAAGATCCAGAAGGATTATTTCTACTTGCTATTCTACTTGATGACCTACTAGGTTGTTGAGTTTGGTTCCTATTTGCCATTTTTGAAACAGTCAGTTATGAACAATATGTGGAATGAGTTTGAATTTGTTATTGTGTAAAGATAAGTTTAGGGGTATATATGAAGGTTTGCAATAATTATAAGTAGAATAATATTAACAAAATTTATGAATTTTTAATATTTTTGAATTTTGTTAATTAATATTTCTACTTATTTGGAATGGAAATTAAATTATAGGTATTTTGCTAATGAATTAATTAATAACTTTAATAATAATTATTTTATAATGTTGTAAATTATTGTTATATTTCGTACAAATTTTTAATAATTAATATAATTATTTTTTTTCTCTTTTCAGATCTTTAACAATTCTGTTTGTATTGTTTTTGATTTTATATAATCTTTAAATATGAATATAAATTTATATTTTTAAATTTGTTTTATATATTTTTCTTTAAGACTTTTTTTTTTTTTTAGTTAACTTCAATGATTTTTTTAATCTAATATTTTAAATTATATATTTTATACAAATTAGATTTTTATACAAATTTATTTTTTTTAATAACTTGAGTAATTTTAATTTAAGTATTTTTAACAATTTTTTTTAATATAAACTAAATAAATTTTCAAAAATTAGTTGCAATTACTTTTTTTAATTATTAGAAACAATATTATTTTCTGGATTGATGTTTATTTGTTAGATTGTGGTTTGTATTTATTTATTTTTGTAAATATAAATATATGTAAATATATATATTTCTAAATATTATATACAAAATGGAAATCTTTTACAACTTTTTTAATATTTTCCAAAATATTAATATTTTCTAATGTAAATTAGAAAATTAATTATTTAGAATACAAGATGTATTAGAATACTTAATAATGATTATATATTTTTTTTATAAACATTTTAAATAAAGTATTTATTTTAAATCGAATGATGTTTCTGTCTTGTTAAATGTTATGTGTTTTGAGGTTATATATCGAAAAACATTTTGGGATAAAGAATTAAATGAATTATACCTATTGATGTAAATGAATATTTCTTTCGTTGAGGTACAAATAAATATTAAGCTATATAGCCACAAATTATGATATTGTCACGATTGTAATATCCTTTTCATCGATTGGTAACTCGACATTTCACTACATCAGAGTATTTGTACAACACGATATGACATTTGAATTGCCTTCCGGGATACCTATAAACTGATTGTAGCTGAATGAAGAGTTTGGGTTATAGGTGGAATACCAGTTTTTTTAAGAAGCTCGAAAGTTGGGCGCCATATATGTAACAGTTATTTTTGTGCGGACATGGTACTTCGGTCTTAGGCTGCGGCTTAGCTCGCCGGAATGGGTAGGTTCTTTCCGCTTCAACTGAACATATAAATTTGTGTACCATGGGTGTTATTTTTTTTGTAACGGAAATTCAAATTTAATTTTAAAAATAAAATAAATACAAAGGAAACGGATGTAGTTCGATTTATAACCAGATTTAGCATTTCAATTCAAAATAAATACAAATGAGATTTCCATTAGGTGAGGTTTAGATGGTAACCTCGATGGCTTTTCCCTCCCCATATGACTATTTCAGTCATCCTTGGTATTTTCTGTGCCATCAGACTTAAGTGAAAATACCCCAAATATAATTAACCACGCACTAACAAATATTCAACCCATTACTTTAATGTTCAAAACATTTTGTTAAAAAAAAATATTACTCAAAATATTTCAATATTTAAATTAAATTTATAATGCATTTTTATTATTATTATTCTTAATATTTAATATATATGTATATAAAAATTTTGTTATTATTTATAACAGTTTTTTTTTTTTTTGGTCTCAACAAAAATAATTTTTGGTTTCCTTAATAATAATTAAACATATAAATTTTGTATTATATAATAATAGAAAATTTACTTTGATATAACAATTTCTAATTGAGTATAGATATTTTGATCAGAATTTATATTATTTATTTTTATTACAATTCTTATTTTTACTTATTTGGTTTCTAAATATATATATAATTTCAGATTTTTAATAATTCTTATTTTTTTTGTGTATATATATAATTTAGAATTTGTTATATTTACATATTTTAGGTGTAATAGATTTGTGTAAATAATATTATTTGTTTGCAATATTTATGTTATTTATTATTCTTATTTTTATTATGGTTATATATATTTTTGTTGTATCTCTAGATAAGTTATATTGAACTTGAAGAAAGGTTACATTTCATAACCACGTGGGTCTTATATAATATTTTTAGGTTATATTTAGGCAATACTTCATTTACCTATAATTTTATCTCCAATTTGCTGTTTTTTTTTATTTATTTGTTGATTTTTAAAATAAATTAAATTTATCAGGTTTTTCTTCGGTCTACCCTAATGTTTTTATAGCAATATTCATATTTTTTTAACGCCTTAACATATGCTTTACGTTTCAACTAAATTTTGAATGTTTTAATTTTGTGTCAAAATAACCACGTGTGAAATATGTGATTGTTGCGTAGAGATGGAGCTTACATCATATTTTATTTTGCCAATTCACAACAATATCTTGATTTAAGTATACCAGTTTTAATAAAGGCAACTTATTGATCTAGATGGTGTTGTATGGCACTTTTTGATATATGTTTGATGATTGTACTCACTTATGATAATCTCCTTATGATGAGTTATACATATATATAGGTATCTTATTGTCCGAAATTAATGCCCAGAATATGTGTCTCCGTTTACAAGTGACAATTTGACGACTGCCGCGGTGTTGAAGTCGTCAGAAATTCACTTCTGACTTCTTTCTGCCTTATTTGGAGAATAGGTATTTCAACACGATATTCTATATTATAAAAATGGCACAAATTCCCTGACGTTAGACACTAATCAAAAGCAAATTATTTTCGTTTTATGTTATTTTTCTCACCTGGGCAATTTTCAATATTTCTTTACTAATATTTCAGCATTAAACTCTCCAATCTTTAGTTTTAATATTTTAAATTTTTATTAATTTAACTAAAAGAAAAAAACGTTTTATAACCACTATCACCATTACTCAATGCTTCAAATTTCACCTTCTAATTCTAATAATTGCTAAATATCTTAAATGTTAACCTTATTGTAAACCTTCAACGTTTGAAATGAAAGAACAATTTCAAGGTGACTTTGTGAAGGTTGGAACTCACATGCTGGAGTTTTAGAGATGGTACAATTGGTTCCTTTTTCTAGTGGTATAAATTTGTAGTGTTAAGCATTCTATATAGATGGCTCTCTAGTAATGATCATGGCAGCATTTATTTTTCTTGTGTTCAAGATTTATTAATATGAATTAATAATGCTATCATATTTTTAAAAATTCAAATAATTTAAAGCAGGTCAAGGATTATTTTATTAAAAGCTTTTTATAGCAATTGTTAAAGCTTTTTTCCAATTGTTGTCCAACATTTACTACGATTTATTGGAAATAAATCTGTTGTACGACTGCGGTGTAGTTACGACCAGATAATATGCAGATGGTAAAAATACGATTGCAGAATCCCTACTAGATAATATGAACTTGGTCAAGATACGATTGTGGCATCCCTATAATGTCTATTTACATTTCAAACATCAAACCGCTAAATGGTAACAAAAATTCTTTTGAAAAATAATAAGTTTGTTGCTCATATCCACAGCCCAAGGGTGGCTGTCACATAAGCCTGCATAGACAATTTTCTGTCACAGGCTGTAGTATTCATTACGAACTTCAAATACGAATTTTGAAACAATTCCGGTAAATAATGTCGCTAAAATCATTAAAATACCGAATATACTATACGAAGACGTGGACCTACGTGGCCCATTTTCTGTCTTATGCTGTAGCATTCATTACGAACACCCAATACAAATTTTGAAACAATACCGGTAAATAGTGTCGCTAGAATCATCAAAATACCGCATACTGGGAGGTACCGTTATATGGGGGCTATACGAAGACGTGGACCTTCATGGGCCATTTTCAATACCAAAAGTCCTGCAGACATAGTAAACATTTGAGTAAATATGGGGGCTATACGAAGACGTGGACCTTCATGGGCCATTTTCAATACCAAAAGTCCTGCAGACATAGTACACATTTGAGTAAAATTTTATCAACTTACTTCATTTCGTTCGGAAGCTAGAGTGATTTCCAGAGACGGACAGACGGACGGACGGACATTGTTAAATCGACATAGAATATTATGATGATCAAGAATATATATACTTTGTGGAGTCTAAAATATATAGTTCGAAGTGTTACAAACGGAATGACAGACTTAATGGAGGGTATAATAACCCAAAAAGCGAAAGTCATATTATTATCTATTTTAGTTTGAAATTGTGGCAGAAACCTTAAAAATATCGAAAATCGGTAGGTACGGCTATATGGGGGCTATATCTAAACGTACCCATATAGACCAATTACAATATCAACCTGTGAAATTTCAAATTTACAAAATCAACCTTTAAAATTTACAATTTCAAAGCTCTGGGTTAAATAATGTGGATTCTATCTGTATTTTAACAGGTAGACAGACGGACATCGCTAAATCGACTTAAACTTTAACTCTGATCTATTCACATACTTTTTGAGGTCTCGACGAATATTTCGAGGTATTGCAAACGAAATGACAAATTTAATATATCTTGCAGACATAGTATGACTATGATGAATATTATTTTTAAACCCTCAGTAATATGATTACAAACGTGTCTCATCGAAATAACGGTTTTGGACCCTAGGTCTCTTTGTGTCACATTTAGAATCGATCTAGGGATGTATTCATGTATGTCTGACTGTGTGGTGCGTATGATTACTCTCAAAAGAAGTATCCGAGTCGGTCCAAATGATAGAACGATTCACTCTTTCTGGCATCTCATCCACAAAGGAGTCAACATTTTAAATAATGCTCATAAAATGCGAAATGAGTCTCCGATTTACTCAAATTAGTCATATCGTTCTATATACACCAACAAAGATTTTCTCTAAACTTCGTACATCACCATATTTTTACCAACTATAGGTATATCGGTAAATTCCTTCGCACCCCAGATCCACTCCTTCTGGCTCCTTCCCCACTAAAGTTAAATGTTCCAAATGATTATATGTCTCAAGTTGAGTTCTTGATGATCAAGCTTTGATCTCAATGAGAGCAAACAACGAACACCGAAAAAAACTTTTGCAAATCGAAAATAAGCCAACGCCAAGAAATATGCATCGATTTGGAGTTGCATTTTGTTTTTGGGGCAGAGCTTTTTTTAATAAAAGCATTCAATTTGATTTTAAATGATATTAAATGCAATAATTTATCAATGTGCATTGCTTGATTGCATTGATGACATCTTCATTAATTTTGAATTTTAAGCATTGTTTCTAAGTATAATCTGACTAGGAAATTTATGTTACAGAAAACAATGACTGGTGACTAATTAGCACTCTACAAAATGGAAGTAATTGGAATTAGACTAAATACAAAATGATCTGAAATTTGCAGTGAAAAGGAAAGCCAGATAGACACTGTCACACACTCACCACTATGCGACGCGTTTCGCCGTTGGTTAAGCGGCTCATCAGGCATATTTGGTGTGGATGATGGCTTACAAGGGCCGT